AAAGCCCAGTGTGGGGCACATGCCTATAATCCCATCACTCAGGAGGCTGAGGCTGGAGGATCACTGCAAGTTTGAAGCCCACCTGGGCTACACAGTGAGTTCAAGACCAGCCTGAACTATACAACGAGCAAGATCCTGTCTGTCTTAGTTACTCTGCTCTCCTTCCTGGGACAAATACCTGACACTCAAAGTGAAGGAAGGAAAGGTTTATTTAGCTCACAGTTACTGGAGGTTTCAGTCCATACTCAGCTGGCTCCAAGGCAGAGGGCAACCTTTCATAGAAGCAGCAAAAAGCAAGAGCACAAAAAGAGGTAGCAGCAGCTCAAGCAGCTAGCTTCTCTTCCCTCCTTATATTGTAATGCAAATTACCTGCCTCAGGGCAGGTGCAGCATCCACACCCACAGTAATCAATGGCAAATTCCAGAAGCGCCCCAAGACTGCATGAGGCTTTGGGGGGACACCTAGACACAAACCATAACACTGTCTACAAACAAACGGCTAGCCTATGTTAATAAAGTCTTGGGGAAAAAAGTGCAAATATACTTATTATTGCAAAGTAAACAATAAATCTATCTTTTTTTTTTTTTTTTTTTTTTGGCGGTACTGGGGATTGAACTCAGGACTTTGTGCTTGCCAGGCTGGCACTTACGCCGCTGAGCTATATCCCCAGGCCCAATAAATCTATCTTGAATCCACTACACCTTGTGCGAACATTCGGATAAAAATCAGTGAATTTGCATAGTAACCCATAAGAAACTCTTTAATATGTAGTTAAGAAAAAATATTTAGTCGAGAGTGGTTGTGCACACCTGTAATCCCAGCCTTTGAGAGGCTGAGGCAGGAGAATTGCTGCGAATTCGAGACCAGCCTGGCCTACAAAGTAAGCTCAAGGCCAGCCTGAGCTGTACAGCGAGACCTGTCTCAAACAAACAAACAAACAAACAAAACCCCCCAAACAAACCTAGCAGGTGCGATTGCAGACTGTTGGGAAAGGAGGGAGTAATTCAATAAATGACACTAGACTCATAGCCTGCACGTGGAAAAAACAATTAGCGCCGCTCGGCGGACGCGGCCCTCCCAGCCTGCACAGGAGCGGCCAGCACGCGGAGTGTGTGTGTAAGGGGCGGATCGGGCTGAATTTCAGGCCAGAGCTCGCTTCGTCTTTCGAGAACCAACACGCGGTCCTCGCGCACCCACACTTAGTCTCAGTGAAGAAACTGCCCAGCAGCGCAGCGGGCCGCTGTGTTCTGCCCACCGGAGGACCAACGGAGCCACCGCAGTCCCACCATTTCTCCCAGGCCGGAAATGACGCGCCCAGCAGGCGCTCTGGGGCGGTGCCTCCCTGCGGCGAGGTGGGGCCTATGGCTGCGGAGGAGGAAGGTTGCGGTGCATGGTGGCCTGAGGCAGGGACAAAGAGGAGCCGCGCCCCGGGAGTGACAGGAGACGGGGGCGGGGCCTGCTGTGGGGCGGGGCTTGGGGCGGGGTCAGTCTTGTCCTGAGGCGGGATGGGCGGGGCCAGAGGCGGGGCGGGCCGCCGGGCGCCCTCCTTTGCTCTGCCTTGGCTTCCGCACCTCCGCGTCGAGGTGCCTCCGGGTGTCGGAGGTCGGCTCCAGGCCCGCGTACCCCGCGTTCAGAGTCTGGTCGTGTGAGAAAGGCCTAGGTGTGCCCTGAATCTCTTGGCCGCCGTTGCGAGCCGCCCGTCAGGAGGCCGACTGAGGTAACCCTTTGGTGTTTCGCGGTGCGGCCTCGAGCTGGCGTGGGGCCGGCAGGGCTCTGCAGAGAGCTGGCTGAGCTGACGCCGTGCCCAGCTGGCCGCGTGGGTCATCTCATGACCCCTGGCGGCCTCGCCCCGCTCCCGAGGCTAGGGAGTCGCAGACCCGAAATCTGTTCCCCTGGAGATGTCAGTAAAGAAGTGAGCAGCAGTGAGCGAGCAACTAGAAGAAATAGGAGGGAGGAGGGAGGTGCGGCGAGTGGCTCTGGTTGCGGGTGGCCGACGGCTGCTGGGCGACTTTGCCCTGCCAGGGGTCCTTTGGGCTTCCAGAGTAAAGAATGCATGAGAACCAGTTCACACTATGGAGGGAAAAGTTAAGGGAGCTGGAATAAGCAAGTTCAAGGGCATGAAAGAGATCAGGATGGGCGACTGGTGGGGGACGTCTTGGTTCTCTCACGCTCTCCAGACCATTCTCTGCTCAATTTTTGTTTTGTTTTTGAGACAGGGCCTCACAATGTAGTGTAGCCTGGCCTTTAACTCCTGGCCATCCTCCTGCCTCAGCCTCCCAGGTGCTGTGATTACAGTCGTGGACCGCCAGTGCCTGGTTCTGATCTATTTCTTTGTGCTGGCCTTTTTCTCAAGGTCATCCTGCTGCCATTACGTCCACCTATTATCTGCTGGTGTGTAACCGGCACAAAGCTGAATAGATTAAAATGACCTTTATTTAACAGTTTCTTTGAGCTAAAAATTCAGCAGTAGTCTTATGTAGATAGTGGTGGCTCCCTGCCCCTGTGGAGCGGGAAAAACTTAATTCCAAGATGGCTTACTCACAAAGCTAGTGGCTGGAGTCCTTTCCTAGCCTCATAGCCCTTCCCCTAGGCCAGTTGTGCTCTCATGGTAACTTTTTGAGGCCAGCCTGGGCTACAGCTAATCATCTGACAGACAGGAGATCGTTTGGGAGGATGTAGAAACCATCATAACATTCATTCATTCATTCATTCATTCATTCGTTGGTACTGGGTGTCAAACCAGGGGTGCTCTACCATGGAGCTACAGCCTCTGCCTTTTTTACTTTTTTTTTTTTTTTTTTTTTTTTTTTTTTTTTTTGGTCTTTTTGAGACAGGGTCTTGCTGTGCAGTTCAGGGTGACCTTGAGCTCTCTTTGTAGCCCAGGCTGATCTTGAACTCACAACTATTCTCCTGCCTCAGCCTCTCCAGTACTGGGATTACAGGCATCAATTTACTTTTTATTATTTGTGGTGTTGGGGACTGAACTCAGGTCTTTTGCACAGACATACACCTCCAGTTTTTTTTTTTTGTTTTTTTTTTAAGCAGTCCTGGCTCCACTTGCTGACCCTAGAGTACTAGCATTATAGGCATCCTAGACTTTTTTTTTTTTTTTTTTTCCCCTCAGAACTGGGGATTGAATTTAGGCCCTTGTGCTTGCCAGGCAAGCGCTTATTCTACTGAGCCATCTCCCCAGCCCCCCAGATCATTTTTGTTTTTTATTTCAGACGGAATTTCAGTAGGTTGCCTAGGCAGGACTCCAACTTATTATCCTCTTGCCAGTGTCCCTTATACTGACATTTACAGGAAAGCACCCACAAATATCATATCTTTTGTGACCTGATTTTGGAATTCTTCTTCTTGCTTTTTTTTTTTTTTTATTTTAGACAGGGTCTTGCTATGCAATTTAGGCTGGCCTTGAACTCACTACTAGTTGTGGCCCGAGTTGGACTCAAGCTCACAGTGATCCTAGGGGCTAGGGAGATAGCTCAGTAGAATAAGTGCTTACCTAACAAGCGCAAGGACCTGAGTTCAATCCCTAGTTCCACAAAAAAAAAAAAAATTCACAATGATCCTCCTGTCTCAGCCTCTCCAGTACTAGAATTACAGGTATGTACCACCATGTCCAGCCTTGATTTTGGAAATTTTATTTAATTTATTTATTTTGCTTTTTTTTTTTTTTCAGTACGGGGGATCAAACACAGGACCTTGTACTTGCTAGGAAGGTGTTTGAAGGCTGAGCTATCTCCCCAGCCCTTTATTATTTATTTATTTAGAGATAGGGTTTCACTATTCAGTTCAGGCTGGCCTTACACTCACTTTGTAGCCCAGGCTAGCCTGAAAGTCAAAGTGATCCTCTTGCTTCAGCCTCTGGGGTGCTAGGATTATAGATGTGTACCTCCATGCCTGGCCTGATTTTGGAAATTTTAAATTTCCACATTCTATTTGTTAGTGTTTCAAAATATAAAGGACTTCAAGTTCTGAAGGGATCCATAACAAATAATTAAACCATTTAAAACCACTTACTACTGAAAAATAAATTAAACAACTTACTATTCTTGTGGAAAAGGAATGCCTAGATTCTTTAATTCTAATTGAAGTTCTGAATCTAATATTCATTTGAGCATTAATGTATTTTCTTTTTGGAGGCGGGTTAAGATGTAGTTCAAGGGCCAGGGAGATAGCTCAGTAGAATAAACATTTGCCTGGCAAACCCAGGGTCCTGAGTTCAATCCCCAGTACCACAAAAAAAAAAAAAAAAAAAGATGTAGTTCAAGCTGAGTTTGAATTCAGTATGAATTCTAAGCTGCCCTGAAACTCTCAGAGATCTTTTTGCCTCCTCCCTCTTTTTGCCTGCTGGTGAGATGGCTCAGTGGTCTAAAGCACCTACTTAGAACAAGCTTAGCAAAGCACAGAGACCGTGGTTCAATCCCCCAGCACCACATGCCAGCCAGCCTCGCCCCCTGGTGGGCTGAGCTGGCCACACACACACACACACACACACACACATAAATAAGTAAAATAAATAAATTTTAAAAAAAAATTAAAAATAGGTATGGTAGCGCATGCCTGTTATCCCTGTACTAGGGAAGCTGAGGCAAGATGAGCCTTAGAAGTCTGAAGCTACCCTGGGCTACCTAGGGAATTCAAGACTGGCCTGACCTTATCTTAAAAAAAAAAAATAGCATGTAGCTCAGGTAAAGGCCCTGAGTTCGATTCCTGGACTAGGGGAAAAATTAGACATTTATTCAGACATGTGAATGCTTATTTATATTTATTTTCTACCATGCACTGCTTTGCTTTGTCCTTGGAAACAGGCAACAAAAACAAGTGTCTGCCTTCAGATTCCTCACCGTGTTGGGGGAGCTCCAGAACAGTGTAAGGGGTGAAGTTGAGCCAGGGATCAAAAGGCATCAGGTACGGTGTCCAGGGTGTGGGTCATGACTGGGTTTGGTGTATAGAGTGAGTAGAGGAAGGAGGCAGAGGAAATGCGGAGCAAGGAACAGTATAACTAAGGAGGTGGGATGGGAACAGATAATGGGCATGGGGCTTGAGGAAAATGACACTAGAGAGACAGGACTCAGGAGAGAGCTGACCAAGTTACTGGATTTGTTTGTAAGCAAGGGAATAACATAACCAGGAAACATTTTAGGAATATTTGAGAGAACTCTAGAAATCCTAGTCAATTATAAGAATATGACCTGAATCAGTTGCATTAAAAGGAAGGAGTAGGTTGAAGAGATAAATGAGTTAGAATCTACAGAACTTGTTAGGTGCTTCAAAATACCCTGTATTACATTCAGTATTCATTTTTTGTTTGGTTGGTTTTATATTTTTGATGGTACTGGACTTTGAACTTAGGGCTTTGTTCTAGCCTTTTATTTTTTGTTTCAAGACAAGGTCTCACTAAGTCACTAAATTGCTCACTCTGGGCTTGAATTTATGATTACAGGTGTGTACCACCTACCCATTTAATATTTTTTTGGTTGTTGTTTACTGTTCTGCAGGGTCTTACTACATATTTCAGGCAGGCCTTAAACTCACTATGTAGCCCAGACTGGCTTCCAGTTCTCAGGAATCTTCATGCTTCCCAAGAGCTGGGATCACAGGCATGCACCACCACACCCCACCACACCCCACACCCAGCTTTAAAACTAGCCTTTATAAAACTTCCATACTTGGTATATTTTATTCTCAGTATCGTGTATACTATCCTTCATGGAATTATAGCCTTTCAGAAGGTCAAAACCCAATGAAATGTGGTGATGCATTGCTCGTAATCTCAGCATTTAGGAGGAGCACAAGTTTGAGGGCAGCCTAGGCTATGTAGGAAAGAGCCTGTCAAAGAAACAAACAAACAAACAAACAAAAAAGGCTCCAAACTAAATGACCATAAAGCAGAAGCTGAGAGATACAGTGACTTATTTTTAAAGTGAAGCAGATTTTAGCATAATGAGAGGAAGGATATGTGAAGGTATGCTGGTTTCTAAGTAAAAATTATTGAGTGTATGTTGATCTTTGGGTAATGGATTCTCTAATTTTATAAATGTTTAAATAGTTACATGATGATCTTTTTTTTCTTTTTTTTTTTTCTGTATTTAGGACAGGGTCTACATGGTCTCACTATGTAGATCCGACCCATAATGATTACCCTGTTTTGTTTTGTTTTGTTTTGCGGAACCAGGGATTGAACTCAGGCCCTTGCACTTGCCAGGGAAGCACTTATTCTACTGAGTCATCTCCCCCAGCCCGATTACCCTGTTTTCAGCCTCCCAAGTGCTGGGATTACAGGCATGTGCCACCGTGCCCAGTCTCATTTGCCATCTCAGCTCGTCCTGCAGGCAGGCCAGCACGCATGCAAGCCGGGGATAGAACCTTGGCCATAGGGGTTTTTTTGGAAGCTTTTTTTGTTTTTGGTTATTTCTTTGTTTGTTTGAGACATGGTCTCTATATAGTACAGACTGGCCTTGAACTTGCTGTGTAGCCCAGGATGGCCTCAAACTCAAGGTAATCCTCCTGCCTTAACCTCCCAGAGTGTTAAGATCATAGGCCTGAGCTGTCAGGCCTAGTTCCTCAGCTTTTTAGAGAATGCTGTGAGCTATCCTCTACTACTTTAGAAGACTTTCAGTTGTGTAAAAGAAAGGAACTTGTGTTGACTGCCATTCTTGTGATAATTTGGCTCAGTCAGGGAGTCATGACCTTAAAAGTTTGTTCTTATTTCAGAAATGACCGTGGGCCTGTTCTTTGTCTTGAGGCTGTTGTCAATGAAGAGAGGAAAGAGTTGTTCACTGTAAACAACTCAACACTAGCTGTCCTTGTCTGACATCTGCTTTGCTCAGCTGAAAAATTCTGTGCTTTTTGATTGGTTCTTTTTTTTTTTAATATTTATTTATTTATTTTGTGTATGTGTAGCCAGCTCAGCCCACCAGGGGGCAGGGCTGGCTGGCATGTGGTGCTGGGGGATGGAACCATTGTCCCTGTGCTTTGCTTAGCTTAGCTTGTTCCAAGTAGGTGCTTTAGACCACTGAGCCAACTCACCAGCCCCTTGATTGGTTCTTGTGGGTGTCTCTCTCACATATCTTGTGGTGAACTGCTGTCAAACACATGGGCCAATCTTGGCAATGACACTGGTCATATAATATAAAAGATAATCTTAATTCATTTGGGTGCATGTCTATCTGTAGTGATTGGCATTTGTACTCTTGCTGTTAGATTGGTTAGTGAGGTGCCCTGCCCATTAGCCCAGTTGTCTAAGTGCCTGCTTAAACAAAGCAGTCAGGCTCAGGTGCTGTGTTTCAAACCTAGATACTCAGGCCAAACCAGAAATGCCCTGAAGGGATCTTTTTTTTTTTTTACTTTTTAAAAAGAAAATTTAATGAAGGGAATTACCATCTCCACTTCCTACGCCTATGTACCATTTTCTCTTCATAGTTACAATTGGGGGAAAATGCTGAAAGAATGATAATTTAAGATAAGTAGATTTATTAGTTTAACTTATATATAGCTAATATAGAAGATCTTTGCAAGTATTGTCAACAAATAGACTTCCACCTTCAGAGGGTAGCATTTAAATCCAGAGCACAACAAGACAAAAAGGATACACATTGAAACTTCTCAAATTCTAGAATTCTTTTTCAGGCTACCCTGTACTTAGGAGTGGGAAGTTGTTTTTTTTTTTTTTTTTTTTCAGGTTAGAAACTGCTACAAATGCCATATTTTATTTTAAAATTGTGTGAAGGTCCTGAAGGGATCTTGAGGCCGCAAAAAAAAAAAAAAAAAGATTGGTTAGTGATTATAGATCTGGCTTGATGTGAAGATTCAGGCCTTGAGCGAAGAGAATGACTGAGTTACCTATTCATCTTTGTTTTATTTTCTGAGACAGAGTCGCAGCATGTAAACCAAGCTGGCCTTGAACTCAGGTGATCCTCCTGTCTCAGAGAGCTGGGATTACCGGCACGAACCACCATGCCTGGTTTATTCATCTTTTTGTCTAGAAACATGCTCCATAAGATTCTCTTGTGTCCATTTGATTGGTATTTGAGTCCCAACTATGTGTGTGGCTCAAGGCACACAACAGACATCCTTTCTCACTAAAATAGCTTTCAATCTGGCAGGTAAAAGAAGTATAGGGCTGGTGAGATGGCTCAGTGGTCTAAAGCACCTACCTAGAACAAGCTAAGCTAAAGCACAGAGACCGCGGTTCAATCCCCCAGCACCACATGCCAGCCGGCCCCGCCCCCTGGTGGGCTGAGCGGGCCACACACACACACACACACATAAATAAATAAAAAAAAAAAAAAGAAGTATAGGAAGAACTTTATTTATTTTTTTTAAATTTATTTATTTGACTTATTTATGTGTGTGTGTGTGTGTGTGTGTGTGTGTGTGTGGCCAGCTCAGCCCACCAGGGGGCGGGGCTGGCTGGCATGTGGTGCTGGGGAATTGAACCGCGGTCCCTGTGCTTTGCTAAGCTTGTTCTGAGTAGGTGCTTTAGACCACTGAGCCATCTCACCAGCCCAGGAAGAACTTTAAAAGAAAAATAGTTCATTCCTTGGAGTAGAAGGTGATTAACCAAGGTCAGCAGGAGTCATGGAGCCTTCTCAAAGGGTTCATGCTGTTTAAGTGGTAGCTTGGAGAACTAGAGTGGACATCCAAGGATGAGGCTTAGCCTTGAGTGCTGACAGTGCATATCCCTGACTTGTCAAGTAAGAGTGCAAGTTAAGGGGCAAAGGCTATGCAGGCAATTCCCAGATAAAACATAAATGTCAGAGGAATACATGATAAGTTATAAGATACTGTGTTCTGGGCTGGGAGATACCTCAGTAGATTAAGTGCTTGCCTGGCAAGCACAAGGGCCTGAGTTTAGTCCCCGATTCTGCCAAAAAAAAAAAAAACCTAAGATACTGTGTTCTGTCCCAGGTGATTCCTAATTTAGAATTGTAATCTGAGTGTGAGTTAGTGGAAATAGTTCCCCGATTGAAAGAAGTAAATCTGTGCTACTCTTACCCAGACCTAGAGAATGACTATAGCCTTTGTCAGTATGTGGTACAAGAGTAGCACTGCTTTTTCCTTTTGGTGCAGCAGCCTTGAGTTCCACCCTCAGTACTGGGGGTGTGTGGGGGCAGGCTGTGGAATTGCCTGTTACTTGTTCTGATACTTTTTCATTCTGTCCTATCTAGTGTTTTATACTTTCCTTAATTTAACAAAAACAAAACAACCTGTAATGAAACTTTTTTTTTTTCTTTTTTGTGGAACTGGGGATTGAACTTTGGCCCTGGCACTTGCCAGGCCAGCGCTTATTCTCCTGAGCCGTCTCCTGGCCCCTGTAATGAAACTTTTATTTTCTGTTTTTTTGGTTGTTGTTTTTTTTGGCGGAACCGGGGGTTGAACTCAGGCCCTTGTGCTTGCCAGGGAAGCGCTTATTCCACTGAGCCATCTCCCTGGCCCCTATTTTCTGTTTTTTGCAACACAACAAACTGTTCTTAAAGAAAGAACTCTGGGAGAAAATAGAAGTACCTTTTACATCCTTCCTATATATACTATAGTGTTCCTGCCTCTTTGATATGTTAATGAACTTCATAAATGGTTACATAATTTTATTGTTCTTCCCCATAATCAGGGTTTTCCCTGTGGACTTGATCCCTGGACAGGTGTGGCAGCTCCAGTGCCAGCCAGTGTCCTTGAACAGAGCACTGGCTGAGTCTCTAGTTTCATGATAGTTCCATACTGCCAAGGAATAATCTCTGAAAAACCATATGTGGTGATCATCTTCACATTATCCTTTGAGTCACTTTCTTTCTTTTTTTTTTTT